AATCTAGTTGTGGAGGACGTTGCTTCACTGGCCCAAGTTGACACCATCATTGCGCTCTTCTCTGGTGAGGCACATCAGTCGCCGGCCTCTGGACGGCCGCTCACCGCGGCTGCTGGCCGCTCACGCTGGCTGCTGGCTACACACGGTAGCCCATGGCAACCCACTGCCACAGGGACTGCAGCCTACGCCATCGCCGGCGACTCACGGCAGCCCAGCTCCAGGTTGAGCTGTTGTTCAGCATCTTAGCTGTAGAGGGCAGTGTCACTGGCCCTCATATGTGGGATCCGAACCGGGGCCCTCTGGCGTCCCAAGCGAGTTCCTAACCATCGCGCCACTCGGCCGGCCCTACATAACTACTTTATGATGGCTCCAGCTGTCCCATCCTGACCAAAATGTACCTCTCATCGATTGAGTGCTATGTGAAATGTCATAATTAGAGATCTATTTTTTGGTTAAAGATTTTTCTTCATTTTTTTAAAAACAAAATGCCTGGCAGAGGGTATGGAATGTGGATGATGCCCAGTAAATCTTTACTAGACCGCGCTGATGAATTTGTGAGAGCTTTCTTGAGAACTGGCTTTGATGAAAAATCGAAAGTAGAGTGAGCATTAGGATTCTAAGTGTTTGAGGAAGAGGGATTTTGACCGAAATTAGAAATGGGTACAGAAAAAGAAGACTGGAGACTCTGTAAAGGAAACCTCACCTGACTTTGGAATTTGGCCTTTGTGGTGTGGTAGGGCATGGTTATTTGAAAAAAAAGGCATCGTAGTGTGACAGAAAATAGGGGCATGGTAAATAACCAAGGACCTTGAGCATGTCTTTGGATTAAGTTATGATGGAGAGATAGACCTTAGATAATAATTTAGAAGAAAAAAATATTACTTCAAAAGTCCTCTCACTTCTATCAGCTCTCCCCTCTGACCTTAGTAGCCTCTTTTTCACCCCTTTTAGGTTCATTTAGCTCTTAGCAAGCTTTTTCCCTCCCTCATTCCCTTTCTAAATTATATATATATATATTTTATACATGTTTTATGTATATCTCCTATAACTTTATCAAGGCTCACCCACGTGTCAGCCTCTTCACTAGGCTCTTTCACTTTATGAATTAATTTAACCCTCACAACAACCCTGTGAATTATTATCATTAGCCCCATTTTGCGGATGAGAAGATTGAGAATCTGAGATTAAGTTCTAAAGATATAAAAGTTAATAAACCTAATTTCCATCCGTCACAGTTCATGGAGGGATATGGATGGTCACAAAGACAGTGATAACGCTGTGAGGGGAGCTGCAGTAGATCTAAAGACAAGGTATAGGATTTCTTGGCTAATCTCCATGAAGGTGTAAGCTGAAATGATTTGAGGTCCTACTCCTTCTAGCATTTGGGTATTTTGATAGGGCAAAGTTAAGGCACAAAAACTCTCTGTAATGTGGAATTCCAGGCGCTTGATTAATTTAGTGATTCGTGTTCAATTTCCTAACCTGGAATCAAATAGCTTTGGGGGAGGCTGTCTCTGCCCAGATGAAGTGAGGCACATTTGGGTCAGACCTGCTCCAGATACTGTTTTAGGAGTGCCTTAGCTGGGGTTTCCACAAAGAGCTGTTCTGGAGACAAGTGGCTTATTTTTGGAAGTGATCTCAGGGAAGAGGAAGTGTGAAACACAAGAAAAGACATGCAACACAGAGAACTTGGTGACAGGACACGAACTCAGGGCCTTGTAAAAATGTTCAGAGTACAGTCTGGAGCACACTACACCTACAAGGCAAGGCCCACATGATGTGATTTGTAATGTGCTATAAAAGGCTTAGAAAAACTCCCTTTACCTGTCACTTGTTCTGAAAGCCCATCCCTCCTCCCTTATCTTGTCGCTGTGCTTTGAGTTAAGGCATCTCATCTGTATGACAAGGAAAAACACAGTGCCTGGAGGGACGTTGCTTCAAGTCATCAACACCCAGTAGCCCACTGACTCCTTGATCTTCCTTAGTACATCTGATCATGTCATTGCCCTGATCTTGTCATTCCCCTGTTGACCATATTCCATGGGTGCACATGGCACATACATTTCTCATCATGACATTCAAGTCTCTTCCCAGTATGACCCTGGGGTGCTGTTGCAGCCCTGATGCCCAATTATGTCCTTTACTTGTACTCCCATTTCAGCCAGACTAAAGTCTTCTGGGTGGTATAGAAAACCTCTTCAACTGGAGAGGTTAGTCCGATCTCTACCACCAATCAGCTCTGTGATTGGTTGGGTCTCAGTTTTCCTGTCTGGTCTGAGGATTAGGTCAGTGAATCCCAAACCTAGCTAAAGGTCCAGATCTCCAGGGGAGATGTAGAAGAGAAAACATTATATAGTCCCACCCCGGAGACCGTGGTTTATTATGCCTGGGTTGGAGCAGCAGAATATGTACTTTTGATAAGCATATACGTACTTACCTATTTCAATTGTACAGCCAGATTCGTGAACCACAGGATTATGTGATTTTTAATAGAACTTCAAATCTAGGCCCCCAAAGTGTAAACCTAAACCGATTGTTACTGAACTCAAACAAGACTCTGAAAGACTGGGATACAGAAGGATATGTTTTGTCATGAGAGAAGGGGAGTTGGAAAAAGATCACAGCAAGCAACACAGGGAAACAAATGTTGGTTGATCCAGTGGGGTGAAGGGGTTCCAGTTACAAGGCCACCAGGGTCAGTCCGAGGACACTGGTAGCCCGAAAGAGAGCTGGGAAGATGGGAGACAGGGGCATCAAAAATTCCAACAATTTAGCAATTTTGTGGGGGGGGGGAAGCTGTTATTAACTAATGGGGATTATTCTTTATTGTCGAGCTCCAATTCCAAGAGATATTGTGCAATTCCTGTGATAAAGTGAAATGTAAGTGGTGTGTGAAATGTCCTCTTCTGAATTTACATAGCATTTAATTTTTACCTTTTCTGGATCTTATTACCTTTATTTTTTTGCATATTTATTTAGATGTGTTCTATCTCATTTTTTCCAAGGGAGTATCAGAGCCTGGAAGGCAGGGCTTCATATAAAGTGTGCCCAAAAAATGTATACACATTTTAAGAAAGGGAAAAACTATTAAAATTGTAATACTCAATATACACTGATAACAAAAGATGGATACAAGTCACATTTGACTTCTGCACTTACAAGAGGTGCTCAAAGTGGTTACCATCAGTGTCCAGACATTTCTGATTACGGCGAACTACTGCTTGAGCAACATTGACCAAAGTGTCCACTTGTATACATTTTTTTGGCACCCCTGGTATATTTCACTATTTTGTCACAGGGAGATATTAAATGCAACTGTTAAGAACACCAGATTTCGGAGCATTTTCTCAATCCATTGAGATTTTTCTTCCCGGCAATTTTCGTCAGTTTGGCTCAAATAAACTGTTATAAATTTTAAAAAACGAAAACAAAAAAACACCAGATTTGGAGCTGGCCGAGTGGCTCAGTTGGTTAAGACCACAAGCTCTGAGCAACAGGGCTGCCGGTTCGATTCCCACATGGGCCAGTGACGCTGCACCTGAGCTGAGCTGCTGCTGAGCTGCCAACAGGTGGCAGGATGGCTCAGCTGGTGAGAGCACGTGCTCCTAACAAGACTGCCTGTTCGATGGTGAGCTATGCCTGCCTGCAACTAAGACTGAACTCAGCACCTTGAGCTGAGCTGCCACCCGGATGGCTGAGTGGATAGAGCGTGTGCTCTTAACAACAACACTGCTGGCTCGACTCCCACATGAGATGGTGGCTACGCCCGCCCACAACTAAGATTGTAACACAGCACCTTGAGTTTAGATTGCAACTGCACCCTCCACAACTAAGACTGAAGAACAACAACTTGGCTGCTGTCCTTCTCCAATTCCCCAATTTGAATGAGTAAGTAAGTAAGTAAGTAAATAAATAAATAAATAAATAAATAAATAAATAAATAAATGCAAACACCAGATATGGAGTTAGATGCACCTAGATTTCATATGGCCTTTGCAATTTAACATCTGGTAAATTATATCTCTAAAATAGGAGTGATATAACCCAGTTCATGGGATTTGGAAGAGAATTAAAATAGAGTATTATATGTAAAACGGCATTGGATCCTGGCATGCTGAGGTCAGGATATAGTACTAGGACAGAAAGACTGTTGGGTATACATAAAAGTACTCAATAAGTGGTCAATTATTATTTTTGCACAATGCTTTGCATTTTTACTGAGTAGATGTTAACTGAATAAGTAATATTTTAAAAACCCCATTCAAATATTATCAAGGGTATAAGCAAAAATCCCTTTTTTTTTTAAGTTAATTTCTCAGGCTGTGATCCCAGGAGGGAATCTCTGGCTTTCTGCTCCTAATCAGGTCCCCAGGTATCTATACCCAGAATAAAACCGCTCAATCTCCAGTCACCAGACAGCACTGATGACAGACAGAGATGCTTCCACAAGCTGGAAAAAAGCCTGGGGCACAGCCTCAAACATGTCCTTTAGCTCAGAAAGAATTCTAAGGCAGTCTAGGCTCTCTCTGATCCTCCAAACAGGACAGGGACTGAAGCGGTGTGTTCTTAGTTTCTTCATCTGTGTTAGCACTACAGCCAGTTACCTGTCTGAACAATTGAAGATAAGAGTTGCACCAAAAGGTACATCACTGTAGCTTCAACCTGAAGGGTGAGTGATTGAATCTGGGATGAACTTTTTCCTAAGTCACCAACCTCAGGTAGTAAAGGCTTTAAGAAAGACCGCCTCATTTTTCCGCTCTGGAAGGACACAATAAAGGGACCAAAGTAAATATCTGGGAGACTCTTCAGTTCATCTTTGCGACACTTCTTCCCAGAGCACCTGCTGTCACCATGGAGGCAGGTCCATCTTCCAGAGTCAGTCACTAGGATGCTGTGAGAACAGACCCACGAGCATCCAGAAAGCCTTTCTGCTGAAGTTCAAAGTCTGTCTGTGTGGCTCTAAGTCTCAAGAACTGGGAGGTGAGGTGACTGGAAGGGCAGCAGTGTTCTCTCTCTCTCTCCTTCTCCCTCTCTAAGTGAATCTTTCTCTTTGTTCCCACAGAATGCCTCAAATAAGAATAGTAGCTGAAAATTCTTCTGTGACAGAGTTTACCCTCGCAGGCCTAACAGACCAGCCAGGACTGCAGATTCCCCTCTTCTTCCTGTTTCTAGGTTTCTACCTGTTCACCGTGGTGGGGAACCTGGGCTTGATAACCCTGATTGGACTGAACTCTCACCTGCACACCCCCATGTACTTTTTCCTCTTCAACTTGTCCTTCATAGATTTCTGCTATTCCACTGTTATCACTCCCAAAATGCTGGTGAGTTTTGTCTCCGCGAAGAACATCATCTCCTACGCAGGGTGTATGACTCAGCTCTTCTTCTTTCTATTTTTTGTTGTCTCCGAGTCCTTCATCCTGTCAGCGATGGCGTATGACCGCTATGTCGCCATCTGTGACCCACTGGTGTACACGGCCACCATGTCTCCCCAGGTCTGCTTACTTCTTCTGTTGGGTGTCTATGGGATGGGGTTTGCAGGGGCCATGACCCACACAGCATGCATGGTCAGACTGACCTTCTGTGCCAACAGTGTGGTTGACCACTACATGTGTGACATCCTTCCCCTTCTTGAGCGCTCTTGCACCAGCACCCATGTGAATGAGCTGGTAGTTTTCATTGTTGTGGGCATTGATATTGGTGTGCCCACAGTTACCATCTTAATTTCTTATGCCCTCATCCTTTCCAGCATTCTCTGTATTCATTCCACAGAGGGAAAGTTCAAAGCCTTCAGCACCTGCAGCTCCCATATAATTGCAGTTGCTCTTTTCTTCGGGTCAGGGGCATTCATGTACCTCAAGCCATCTTCTCTTTTACCTATGAACCAGGGGAAAGTATCCTCCTTGTTCTATACCACTGTGGTGCCCATGCTCAACCCGGTAATCTACAGCCTGAGGAATAAGGATGTGAAATTTGCTCTGAAGAAAACCTTAGGCAAAAAATGGTTCTCTTGAGAACGGAGCAATACTTAGGAAAGGGACATTTTCCTTTCATAGATGATTCAGGTTTCATTGGTTACATGGAGAAAATTTTAATTCTTTCTCAAACAAGTTTATCTTTTCCATTTTAAGCATCCTTTAATTTAAGAATATTCTTTAAACTATAGGATGCTCACATTTTGTGGACCTTAAAGATCATTTATTTCAGTTCACTCATATTTTTGAGAATACATACAGGCTTATTTATGTACCTTCCCCAAGAGTAACTGTGACTGGAATCCAGGCTCTTGGTTTCTAATACTGGTTGCTGTCCATTATGGCTCACTTTCTTTCTCCTTCAGCCCTGGGAGATTTCATTTCAAATGTGAGCTGCTCTAGGATGTTAAAATCTGGTTCTGTCTACAGAAATTTCATGCAACCATTCTAGGGTTAATTTTAAAAATCACATTTTTGCAAGAAGGCAGGAGGTATAGGATTTTTTTGTTGTTGTTGAGTTGATCTTGGCTAAAGGACCAAACAAATTCTTGAAGAATTTTGCAGAGTATGCGGAGGAAGTGTTCTAGGACCCACAGAGCAGCAGGCATGGCACCTCCTAAGATAGTGGTGTGGAGCTTCGGGGACTTAGACTTCAAGGCATTGGGCAATGCGGGGAGGGAAACCTCACAGAGCGTGTCAAGGTTATGTAGGACAGGATTTGGGAATTACTTCCATACAATCATTTCATTGTTCCATTTCAAACTATGCTGCTAAAGCCAGGGTGGAGAAGCGTGCAGTTCAGGGAGGTCAGCTAAGGTCCTGGAGACTATTTCAGAAACACAGAAAGCCTAGAGTTACAAGCCAGTAATCAGGGTAGCACTGCGCAGCAGGCAGTCGGCAGAGGAAATGACCACTGACTGTTGTGGCACTGCATGTGACAGAGACTGTGCAGGGTATTCTCTGGGTGCTGCACCAGGTCTACTTTTGGCCCTTTTGTACCTTAGGCAAGTCCTGGGAGGCATTCCCTAATGGATCCTGTCAATAGGCTTCCTTGCCTTTGGTTTCTGGTTGGGTTATGCTAACAGCAGTATCCTGCATCGACAGAGGAAATCAGAGGGCGCAAGGAGTGTAATATTGTGATTTATTCCCCTGACTTCCTTCCAGCTGAACTACACTATGAGTGACTGAGTGCTCCCTTTCCTGCCTGGTTACGGTAACTGCTTCCTCCTTTGTTTCTTCATGCCAAGGGGTGGTGATGTCTCTCTGCTCTGCCAGCCTGGGGAACTTCGCCATCCCTTGTCGTTTCTCTCAACCACCCTTTTGCCTACACCCATGCGAACAGGTCCTTCGTTATATTTTGCAATTACTTTGTGTCAGTGAATCATCTGTTTTCTACTGGGGCCCTGATGATACATTTCCCAGTAAAGGGTGGAAGAGCTCAGGTATTGTGCAAAAGGCAGGTAGAGTTGCCTTTTTGTTTAAAAGAAAATGTAAGTGGTAAATATTTTTTGTGTGAAGAAACAGTATGTGAAATGCTATGAAAATACTTTTGACTTGTAAAATTCTCTTTAGGAAAATTCTCTTCTATTTGGAAAACTGAAGTTTGGATGGGTATATAGTTTGGCCTTTGGGATGGTACCAATCAGTAAAGGTGAATTCAAAAGAATGAGAATGGAATGAGAGAACTCTGTTTTAGACACAGTGCAGAATAGACGAACAACATGGAGCTTGGGAGGAGGAAAAAGAAGAGCAACATAAAAAGTCAGAAAGAGCAGACACTAGGGAATTGGAGGGTAGAATCAAATTTCACCTCTTTTAGCTTTTACTCTGCAGCTGTGTGGCGTTAGCCAAGTTACTTGATGTCTCTGGGCATAAATGCGCTCATCTTTAAAAACTATTTTTTTGCAAGATTATTAAGACAATTAAATGCCAAGTGCCCAGTAAATTTTCTTTCCATCCCTGCTGGATCTTCTTCCTCCTAGCGTCAACACTTCCACTAATTTATTGTCTGAACTAGAGACAATTGTTTCATCTTTCTGTGCTCATGCCTGCTTCTGTGAAAAATGATTATGTGCTATCAGATTATTTCTACATTCCATTCATAATGTATGCATATACTTATTTGTATATTGTCTGGGTAGCACATGTTCATGGTATTTAAAATTATTACCAAAGAAAAGTTAAATAGCTTAATAAAAATATTAACACAATGGAAAAATAAATAAATAAAATTATTACCAAAGAATAATCAGTCAAAGAAAATCTCCCTTTACTCCAGTTTTCTGGTCCTCCTGCCTTCCCCAGAGTCCATCACAGTTGCTTGTTAATTGTATATTTTTACAGTCTTTGCACATCCAGTTCCTTCACATACATACATGTGATCTTGTCCTTGTGTACAAAGTCTATGAGCAGCTGCTTTAAAATGTATCTACTGTTGGGAATTTATTAGAAGAGGAGGGACTAGAGAGTGTTACTGTGACAAACACATAAATAAAAAAGCAGAAAAGATGGATATAGAGGGCCGTGGCTAGCCAAAAACACGGAGAGAGAAAGTAATACCTTGAAAACAAGGGAGGGTCAGCTCCGGTTATAAGTTCTTGCTGTGTGGCCCAACACACAGCTCAGAGCAAGAATCTGTTTTTTTCTGATCTCTTGCCTCCAGCTCAATTTTTGTGATTGTGTAAAATTTCACCACATGGATATTAAAACTAATTAACAATTTTCTACTACTGTACACCAGGGGTGCCAAAAAATGTATACACATGATTTGTATTCATCTCTTGTTATCGCTATATATTGAGTATTACAACTTTTTTTTTTTTTTTTAGCTGAGTCATCCTGCCACCTGTTGGCAGCTCACCGTCAGCTCAGCTCAGGCTGGAAATCGAACCGGCGACCCTGTTGCTCAGAGCTCGCACTCTTGAATGAGCTCTTAACCAACTAAGCCACTAGGCCGGCCCGAGTATTACAACTTTAATACAGTTTTTTCTTTTCTTAAAATGTGCATGCATTTTTTTATTTTGGCACCCTCTGTATTATTTAATTTTTCCAAATTATAAATAATACTTGATCAATACACTTATTCAATAACTCTTTCCATTTTCTTCCTAATTAGAATATATTCCTAGACAGGGAATTACTGAATTACACAAGATTCTTGAATTTTATTGCAAATTGAAAGTGTATCTCAATTTGCACTCTCACTAGCAACATAAACACATCTGGACTATCTACTCTTGGCCAGATCCTTTAAGGGCGGCACTCATGAAAACTTACTACTTTTAATTTTGGTGGTGGTGGTGTTTAGACTAGAGTCTCCTCCTTTTGTATCTTTTTTTTTCTCTCTACTTCATAAAGTACTTGTGTTATCTGGATGGGTAAAAAAGAGAAAAGTGGGAGCAAAGTTGAAAATGTTTTCTTTCTTGTTTTCCTTCCTCATATACTTCCTTTATCTCTTAAATGGCTTCTCTTGGCCTGATCATATTTCTGGTAATCTTTTTGCTCTTAGGAAGGAAAGCTACTCTGGAGCCTTTACCTTTGTGATAATCTATTGTGAGGTGGCTTTCTGGAATATCTTTCTCCTACCTCTGTTGGTTTCAATGCGCCTGCTCTGTGTTCTCACAGCACATTGCACTGAGTCTATTAAGTGCTGGTCACAAGGTAGGGCCAGTACTCATTTACTTTCAATCCACACCACAAATTAGACCATACACGGTCAGACAATAAAGTTCGTGAACTCATCCTAGAAAAAGTGCTACATTCCTCACTGCTAAATATCACTACGGTCACCTTCAAAGTACTCCCCTTGGGAAGCTATGCACCAACATCAGCACCTAGTCCACCCTTCAAAACAATTTTGGAACTCTTTTTCTGGAATGGCCATCAAGCTGTCATCGTATTACCCTTGATGTCTTGAAAGTCATCAAAATGTCTTCCTTTCAATATTTCCTTTGTCTTCGGGTAAAGAAAGAAGTCATTGGGAGCCAGATCAGGTGAGTAGGGAGGGTGTTCCAACGCAGTTATTTGTTTATTGGCTAAAAACTCCCTCACAGTGCCATGTTAGCCGGTGCATTGTCGTGATGCAACAGCCATGACTTGATGAAAAGTTCAGGTCATCTAACTTTTTCATGCAGCCTTTTCAGCGCTTCCAAATAGTAAACTTGGTTAACTGTTTGTCCAGTCGGTATAAATTCATAATGAATAATCTCTCTGATATCAAAAAATGTTAGCAACATCATTGCAACAAGTTCGCAAACTTAATTGTCAGACCTTCTTAAGTTTTGTGCGAGCAGAGTCCTTGGGGTCCATTTTTATTTTTTTATTAGTTTCAGGTGTACAAAACAATGTAATAGTTAGACATTTATACCCTTCACAAAGTGATAACCCCCCACCCCCAACTTGGGGTCCATTTTGACTTATGCCCCACACCTAGCACAGTGCCTGGCATGTAGAGTGGGGGGGGTGCTGGTTAACAAATACATGTTGGATGCAAAAATGGAGAACCTAGTAGTTTAAGAGCTGACTGACTAAAGGGGCTTTCCTGTTCTTATTCTTCTGGCAACACATTCTTTTCTTTCAGCACATAAATAGACAAAACACATGTTGGGTCCATAATATCCCATCACCCTGATAACTTGATTGTAGTCTTCCTATGTATATTCATGACCTCAATTTTAAGCACATGCCACCTGGTGGCTGTAGTGGAAACCAGACCCTATCTTAGATTTGTAAACCCCAACTTTCCATACAATTACACGGTAAATGTATAGTGTTATATAAAATGGTTAACTTAAGCAAACTCTAAATTGTTATTCAAGTGAACATAGGGCTTGGAAGGAAGTTTTATAAAATACCAGTTGGGCATTCATTTTGTACTCCCCATTTTAACTAATAACCCAGAGACAACACGCAGATGAAAAATTTCTACAATGAAAAAAATGAATCATTCATGTAAACAGCTCCCGTGTCCCCCAGAGTAATAGAGACTGTGAGCCCAAACGATTGCATTCAAAAGATAAATACAATTAGGGAAAAGTCACCAAGGCCATAGCCTGCT